CCCCCCCCCCCCCTGGCATCCGTTTGGAAGGTGTTAAAATTGCTGTGCATTGTTACCACCGGTATCCCAAATATCAGATACCTGCTTCAGAATACGATCTATGTGAAGTATATAGTTCAATGTTAGTTCAAGGTCAGTGTTGTCGAAAAAGACCAATTTGAAACGCGTTACTTTTTAAACCCGAACTGTAACGGATAAGTTATGCATGAATTAGGACTTATGCATGATAAACAACAATATTAAAAGAGAAGTCTAAGTCGACTCGCTCCGACCAAGGCATCGCTCGCATTCTGTACCCTAAAAGTTTAGAGTTGGAAGCTGAAACGATGAGCACTATGTTTTTATGTTTCAGAATACCCCCCTCCCTTCCCCGAATAGACGGACGATAATTCAATGTGATCGATGTGATTGTGTTTGCGTGGGTGTCCATACATAATGATTTTCTTTAGTGAGCAACCCGAATCTTCAACCGAGATTCTAGCTCGCTTGCAATACTCCCGGCACAGTCTCGTAATGAGTAATCTCGTGATTGAAATATATCGAGTCAAAAATCCTACAATATATTACACGCTAATGTCTGTGCGTTTCTGTGTGTAAGTGCGTCATGTCGATGTCACCTAAAGGTGGACAGAAAGCGTTCAAGCTTGGTAGGAGTACAGACGGCAGGGTAGGAACACTCATTGCGGGTAGCAGAACCAGACCCCGCCCACGGAGGGGCGGGGTTTGAGCGGAAAATCAGAACTTCCATCATAATCATAACTTAGGCCATATAGAGCGACCAAACTCGGTAGGAGTACCGGAGGCGGGATGGGATCACTTATAGTGGGTGGCGGGACCGGAACCGCCCATAATGGGCGGGGCTTGAGCGGATAATCAGAACTCCTGCCCGCGGCCCAAATTCGGTAGGAACACTGGAGGCAAGATGAGAACGCCTATGGTGAGCGGCAGGATTGGATTCTGCCCACTGTGGGAGGGTATTGGGCGAAGAAAATTGGCCCTAGAACGCTCAAATTTGGTATGAGTACAGGCGGCAGGGTGGCAACACTTATGGTAGGTTGGACTTGCTCACATGAGGCGGGGCTGCGCGAAACAAATGTTCGATCGGAATTTCATGAACTCCTATTACATTGGACCGGGAATGCTCAAAAGTGATAGGAGTAGAGGAGGCAGAATGGGAACATTGACGATAGAACAGGCCTTAGAGAGCAGTAACCACTTACCAATCGAATCCTAACGCATTTGGTATCAATCCAACTGTGACTGTTTGATATGTTCAATTCAACGATAAGAGTAGGTGCAGTGAAAGGGACGATTGATGGTAATAAATTATAAGGAAATGGAAATTTTTCCACTCCTTGCTATTAGATTACGACCGCTACCCAGCAACGCCTGTGACTCAATGAAAGATCCCAATTTCTCTTTGCATCGATATCTTGACACAACTTATCCGACCACTAATAATCGTAGATTCTCATCCATTGATATACCCTCAGAGAATGGGAGCTCCTTTGATAAAGACAATTAATAATGGTGTTATCTTTACTCGACTATATTTGTGATTACCATTTAAGGTTTTGGTTGCCCACTAGTTGAACTTTCGATGGAATATCATTTTTAAGATGAACAGCAACAGATCGAGACTCATAATCATATTCATAAACATCGGCTCATTTTGAATACCATCTGCATGCCCTTCTGGTCCACCGATCGAAATAGTATCATTCGTTACGAGCAATCAGTGGGCCAGTTAGCCGATTCTTGAAAATTTGTTGCAGTAAGGAGGGAAGCCCGGCGTTGGCCGGGCGACCCGACTGATTTGAATATAACAGACAGCTTATGTTCTAGCTTCCTTTGCTTCCTTTTCTTCGTACCTTTTTCCTATTGGCGACGATTGCCTTTTTTCTGGCAATTTGGACGTGTACGAGGGGTTCCAAACTTCCTGCAGTGAAAACACGTTATGATTTGCCTGTCATTCCTATAACTATAAGACATATTTACAACGGTTTCGGCTTCTGCAATATGATATCTATCTTACAAATCTGGGTACGTGGTCCATAACTCGGAGTTGTGTTTCTTCACTCTTCAGCAAAGAATCCACGAGATCGTGAGATCCTGTTTGTTTGGAACTCTCTTCGACAGATTGCTCAACAGCACGTTTCAATCATCTTTCGTAAAAGTTTGACTCCAAGTCTTCGATTCTCTGCCTCACTCGCCGAATTTTTTTCCGAAATATTCACCTGGCCTCAATCTTCTCTGTCTCTTCATCTGCTCTGGCTGGCACCGAATCCTCTTACTATTCTTCGTCCATCTCTTGCGCTCCTTCCATATAGTCTGCATATTTTTGAACTAATGCCACAACATACTAATGCCACCGTCCTCGTGCGCTCCCTTCTCTTCCTTCTTAAATTCTTTTGCGCATGCCTTTCTCCAGACCTTGCCCGATCGTCTCCTAGACTTGATTTAAAAGTGAGAGTACCATACATTGACATTGTTGTGCTATCATGCTTTCTTCAGCTTGTGAAAAAACTGCGATAAGATGCGACCGTCTCCCCTCCAAAATGTCGAGTTGATCCTCTCTGGTTGCTTCAATCGCCGGTTTTTTCATAAATTCCGAGTTTCGTCATCATGCGGTTGCCGTTGCAACATGTAGCATCTCAGTTGTTTTCTGAAACTACTTCGATTGCTACTAGGAGAGAAGGTATGCCGGATATGGTCTCCAGCTCACTGCGTATCAGCTGTCTCGGTCCCTGTCTTCTCCCTTGTCCCTCGAAGTTCTACGGTGCAGTTTTCCCTGGCGTTCTTCCCAAGGCTCTTGGAATTATGCCTAGTGCGTGTCAATAGTGTCGCCGTATAAGATGTGGTGGCATTCAGGTGTGCAGGTCTGAACAATTCTCCTGTATAGCTGAGCTGGCTTCAGTAGCCGTTGGATCGCTTGGAGGAGACATCTATATTTGTGTCGTATATCCGACCATTGTCTTTAATCAAGTAAAATAGCGATTAGTTGCGCAGTGTGTATTTTTGTGTTTGAAGTTGCAGATTTCTCTGCGCAGCGATTTTGCTTTTTTTCGCACGTATTGATAGAGTTCTTTTGCACTATTGGCAACTATTACTCACTGGTTTCCGTGATGTTTATTCAGAAAGTGCAACGTGCGCGAGATGGTAAAGAAAACATATATGGATTAAGTGCCCCAGAGTGCTGGGCCGACAAGAACACGGTAAACTGAATAGTTGAACAGATCACTGCGGTCGAGGCTCCACTCGGTTGTCGTCAGTCCTTGAATGCCATCAGCTTATCCGCCATCCCCACGCAGTTTCTCGCGGTCTTCATGTCTAGGAGAGAGAAACAGTTGAGAAACACCAGAAACAGTGGTTACCCTAACTCAACTGGGAATTCCTTTCCTTACAATTCTTGGGCGGTGAGTAGTGTACAGCTTCATGGCTGCAGTAGATATATGGCGCATTCTATCCTCTACATTATACTTACTGTGGTTTTCGTACAGCGTTTTTGTTGTCTCCACTGGCTTGGTAGAATTGCCGTCTTGCGTTTTAGGTTTCATGTGAGTACATAGTGAGTGTAGATGACATAGTAGCTTTGAACAAGGGGCTAATATGGTGGGCAGGCACGGCAGGTAGCCTAGTGCGCTGTACATACATACATATAAATGAAGGTGGTCGTTACGGAAAAAATCGACTGAGCCTCATTATTCCCGAAGGTTGTATGTACTATTGCGTTTTATATGCTTCCCTGTGTGCCTGTTCTATAGGCTGTTGTCATGAGCGAAAGTGTCATGAGTTGAAACAGAAACCACTTTCGCGGAACTATATATTTTACCCACGGTGAGGTAGTTGGTTATCGGTTCTGGTAGTGTACAGGTCTGTATTGTTGTTTTTGCCGTATTTGTCATCCTTGCTATACTGCAAGTTGATTATACGAGCTAGCTCCTAATCGTTAAAAGGTAGGACTGACTCACTCTGGAGCACGACCGTTTCAACTCTCGGCTCTAATTGGTGATGCCGTTGTTTGGATATGAATCCATCATGCGTTTCTAGTAAGCTCGTAAGATAGTGTTTTCGCCACATATCCTGGAAATGTTCCGTGAGTTGTCGAGTAAACTTCTGTGCCTCCTCCGCTTGTCTTCTTACCCTGATCAAAACAGCTCTTACGAGTGATACATAATATGGGTCAATCAATGATTCTCCTTCAAAGCCACGATATCGGAACGTGGCAATCGAATTCCACTGGATGAAGTATTGGGCGGACGGAACTGAAGTTGTCTCGCTCAGAGCTCTGATATGTGAGCGGCCGCGAAATCGGGCACACCGCAATTTATACCAATAAGATTTCTAATTCGTGTACTCTATGGTTTTACTTTTGAGGATTTGTATAGTGCATGTTTGATGGATTTAATAAGGCATTCATAAAATCCACTCTAGAATAAAGCATAAGGCGTATCGCGGTACCATCCAGTCTCATTAACGCAATGTTATTCAACTCTTCTGTATTACCTTGTGTTCGATCAACTCTTCCATTCAGGATCTCTGCGCTCAGCTAAGGAAGAAGCGTTCTCACTCTTTATTGAACTATGTTACGCATCTTGTCCGAATGTAAGTCTTGTGGGGCGATACATGACGATATTATCTCTCTTTGGTTTTTCTTATAATTCCATACTACCTAATTACCCAGAAAAATCTCGCTACATCTCTGTCCTTTCCGGGAAGACAATTCCGCATAACACTAGTCAACGAAAATCGGAACACGTGAACGAAAGTGTATTGCAGTTCCAAGACCAAGACCCAAAGCAATCTAGATAAGCTCCCGGAGATTTTTGCATGGTCCAATCACTAAGTTCCAGAGATGATTTATGGGCATGGATGAGAGAAACGTGAACAGATTTTAGAACTGCAATTCTGTTCCCTTCCTGAATTTTCCTTCGATGAACTTCAGCATTCGGAGGCCCCTAATTCATACTTTCATCTCTGGATTTCCACTAATTTCGGGATAGAATGGTACTATGATTAATCATAAGGAAAAGGGCTTGCATGAGGATCATAAGGACTTGCAACTTTGAGGGTGCGCAACTGAATATTTGAGACAATTCAAAAGCTGAAACTTGATGCTGGGTATTTATTGTGTGACTCATTTGTCAAAGCCGTTCTCCTTTTATAGTTGACTATTGTAGCCTGAGTGTAGACTTGTTCTCAGCGATCGACGAAACGCGCACTTGCGGATCACAGAGCATAGAACAAATTTCATGACTAACTATAGGAAGTATTTGGTAAAATGTGATATCAGGAACTGCATCTTGACGGCATAAAAAATCATTTGGGATAATAAGGGTTTTTGCACGGAGCATAGAACCAATTGGTTTCTCGAATGGTCACGGATCGAACACTCACAATTTTGATAAGGACAAACGTTCTGTCAAATATTTTCTCCTGCTAATTGTCGTGATAGCACATTTGTGGAAATTATAAACGTTATCCGTAGGTACCACAATTCGAATTTGCTCAGTCATCCTTTTATTTGCTGAATATATAATGCACTTGAAGATATAGGGATAAGGGATAATGGATGTCTCGAAATTTAAGTAAGTCAAAGCATGTGTTCGCCGTGACCACTGCACGAATCCTCGTCTGCAAACACTTGTCGCTCGAGAAACTGTACACCCTCCGTGAATACTCGCGTCACTATTGCATCTTCGCCACGTTGCTCACCACTCTCATCCTCTTCTTCGATGACACCAACACTTTGCGGCATTGCAAACCGGATGCGATACACAGCATCTTCCTTCAGTACGGCTTGCAGACTCTGACTGAAAAGCGGTAAAATCAGTTTTTCTTACCTTTAACTTTTTTAAGCAGAGAAAGGCAGTCGCTGGAAAGGTAAGAAGGAAGGAATAATTGTTTTGGCTCCCAAGAAAAGAGCTCTGTTTCACTGGCTGGAGAGCGATGACACTCTGTAAGTTATCTCACAAACTGTTTAACGCTGCCATTGTCAGGGAGCAAAATGTGGATGTGCAGCGCAGAAGCGCAATTTTTGATAAAATAGTAGCCAATGAGACTTTCTAGTCTCCAACACGTAGGAATCTAGGAGCACCTTGCTAGTTCACTGTCCGCAGTGACGGAATTACCGGTACGAAAGACACGCACGTCATAATGCATGCTATATAAGCGCTATGGCTCGAGCTTCTTTCTACCTGTCACAACACCTATTTGCGTTAACGATTCCATATCAGCACCGTTACCATAAATTTATATTAACGTTGATGCGTAGACCAATCTCACCAAAGACGCCAGCTATGACGGTGTTTCATATGGTCATTCGAAAGCTCAGAGAGGTAAGGTGATTTCACAACAGAGTTAGTATCAGAAGAATGTCTGAATACTTAGATGGAGCTCCCGAACCGAAATTAAATCAGCAGAGTAGAAAATTTATCTGAGTTCATCATGTCGACTCACACCACCCTTTATTTTTCCGGTTCATGATGCAATAGATGACAACATATCATATCGAAAAATCCGCTTAACTGACGTTGCCATTGTTACACATTCCTACGCGAAATCAGATCATTGCCTCCTCTACTTAGGTTCCGTTTTCGAAAGCGTGAAGAGAAGGCTGCGATATTCATGAGATGGAGCTTTAAGACTGTTATCAGTTAGAATTGCTTCGTTTTTCTTGTGGGTTTATGTGCAGATATCGTTATCGACATCAACGAAGAGGACACCACGCTCTCAAAAGCTACAGATGCTTTCGTTGAGGACTTTCTGGCTGACACGCCAGCTTGGTTTGAAGGAGCCTCAGACGATCACCAACTTGAGAAGCTAGACAGAAAGGTGATTGAGAAGGAGCTAGATGAGTTTTTCGTCGTTCTAGCGAGAGAGTTATTCCATCTCGGAGCGTATTGCAGTAGACCATCTACAACTCCTGTGATTTTCCCATCGACTCTACCTGCCTACTTACAATTTTAGACTGGATTGATTTGCTGTTCCTTCAGTTTTCCCACTGTAATCCGAAATGACAGCGCTTCAGTGAGGATCTCTTATCAAATGGCGTCGAGCACAATAGTCCCAGTAGAATTAAACCAGAACTCTTAGGGTGTTTTCCACCAAGCATGTCAAAAAAATCGGATCGAAATGCAAAGCAATCACTGCAACGCCACACTTCATTTGCAGTAGGAAGATATATCAGTTGAGGTCGAAGTTAGAGCATTTGAAGCACCTCCGCTTCGCGGAGGACACTGGATTCATAACGTCGATGAATATAGTGCGGGCGGAATAAATCCTGACCGAATGTGCTAATTTTCGCGGAAAGGTCCGTTTGCGACGAAATCTAACGAAGACAGTGAGAAAGGAGATATTGGCCTTAGAAACGGCTCATGCTCAGAATGAAACAAGCAGATAATAATGTGATGGACTAGTAAAGAAGATGAAAAACATATGACATTTATCTTTTCGACGCTACAAACCTTCCTGCCTTCATTTCCACCTCAAGAGCTTGAAGTAAACGCAAGCAAGATGAGCACGAAATAGCGGTGTTCACTTTGAACAACCATCCGCCTGAAGATTACAATGCTCTCATGGTCTCACAAAATTGCGATTTATGGACAAAACTTCAGTCTCGGATGGGTCTCCAACCCGTACCTGTGCTTTCCGGAAAACAGTACTGTGCTGATATTAGCCGACAGGCTCAACACGTTGTACTTGTAAGTGCTGATAAGCTATGGTCCGAGACTGAAGTTTTGACCATAAGTCGCCATTCTTGTGCGACTTGCGCATGCGGCAGAATAACAGCAGCTAACAAAACATCAAGTCAAAGCAATGTTCGGCGTGCGAGTGGAAAGCCAGGCTTCTGGACTCCGCCAACGAGTAAAGATGAGGGATGTGGATGCTTCCATCAAGAAATCAAAGATGAACGAGGCCGGACAACACACTAGACCTTTACTGACCGTTGGACGACGGCTACTGAATGGATTCTCCGAGATGTCAAACGATCACTGATGCGCCTGCTATGACCAGAATTCTCTACGAAAATTCTGGACGAAAAGGTGAACCCCTTCAATAAAATAGTGTTTACTGGAATACACCCGCTCGCGACAAGAACAGTCGAGGCGTGGCTGTCGCCAGATCGAGCAAATCGATAATCCACGGGGGATGGGATGAATGTGAACGAATATGAGTCACAATTTGTAATTCCCCTACCGCATTCAAACTGCCATGTAATATTAGGTGTGTGCATTAATTTCCGCCGCCGAATTCCAAGGGCCGTTGCGCGAACCATGTTAGAGGTTTACCGGTGAAACCCGTCATGTTCTGTAAGGTAGGGTATTGGCTACCTACTTAAGGGCAGACAGATCAGTTTTGCCCCAAAATCCTGTTGCTCTCAGACTGATTGGTCATGGAACGTGATGGACCGTTTCCCCGGGGGGNCCTTCCCCTGCTGTTTGACTCTAGAAAACTGGCATTGAACCCCTCCGGATGCTTCTGTGCTTCGTTTTATCTAAACGAACCTGCTGAGATGGTTGCTCTTCACTCGAGAGCTTGCAACGAAAGCGGAATGTTTATTGCCAAAAAGTAATGCTGTGTGTGCATTTGGTGGTGGGATCAAAAGGGTGTTGTGTACTGTGAGTTGCTGAGCCCGAAGGAAACTGTTACTGCTAACCGCTACGAACACCAACTTGACAGTTTGTAGGATGCTCTCACCTACAAGCGGCCGTTTATCGCAAGAAAATATCTTGGGGTGCTGTTCCACCACGAACATGCCAGACCCCATGTTGCGAAGAATGTCCTTCAAAAAAATTGCAATTGTTGGATGGGATCAGCTTGTTCAGCCCGCATACTCTCCGGATCTTGCTCTTTCTGATTACCACCTATTCCGGTCTATGCAAGTCAGTTTGGCAGATATACGCTTCCGAAATGCCGAAGAAGTGCGAAAATGGGTGGATAACAGGATTGCCTCAAAAGATGAAGACTTTTTTGGAGGCGGAGTCAACAAGATACCGGAAAGATGGCAAGAAGTTGTAGCTAACGATGGGCAATACATTGGTTGATGTACATTTAGACTTAATTTTGTAATAAGTATGTTTTTGCACGCGAAAAACGGCGGAAATTAATGCACACACCTAATATATTATTGGCTGCAATGTACATACAGGTTAGATCCATCTTGTGCAGGTAGATCGTTTTTTTTGTCTGACGGATGAGCAGTATTGCGATCGTAAGCCCATCATTCACGGTAATACCAACGTTCTCTCTTGAGAGTACCTGGAGCACCTTCACAATATTGAGTTATTGTCAAATGCTCAGCTACCATAAATCTATGAATAAGCCGGGGATATTGTCGGTTATGTTTTTCATTTATTACAGGCATTTTACATTGTAGTTCCTATGTTCAAGAAGATAGGACAATAGAACAAAACCTGCCAAAGAGGTTCATAGTATTTTTTAGTGAGCTTTTGCTATTCGTGTTTAAACTGATTGCGCAACGCTTTTTCTGCCTCCTGAATGAGCGCTTTATCTCTGGTGATGAAGTTGATGAAGTTGCAATAAAATTCATCAATAACAAACCCTTGTAGCGTGTACAAAAATATAATATATAGCTGGTTCAATGAAACCGTCAACAACGCGGGTGTCTTCTGCTTTTTCCACGAAACCGTCCACACATTTCTAAAAGCCCAAAAACCCTATCTTGGTTGAAGAAATTGCTCTCAGTCTCCTATAGAGAAAGCATAAACCTCGAAATTTTCCCTATAGTCTAGATCTGTTGGTCTCAAAGCACTGTGAGGAGAGAAGGATGTATATGGCTAAGCTTTGTTGCAGATAACTGAGCAGTACTAGGACGAAGAAACATTAAGGAACTTCATAACTAAGCAAATTAGCCTGCCAAAATGCTAGAAATTCAATGCTTATGCTGATTATAATAACATCACAGAGAGTCGACTTAAAAGGAAAGGTATCTTGTCTGATACTGATTCCAAAAAAATGGAGCCTACTAGAACCTTATTCGTATTTTCGGAAAATTCGATGAAATACAGGTCTGTTACAGGATAATGTTTCTCGAATCCGCTGTATTTTGAAAATAACTGTATGCTGCTCGTCGATTCAGGGAATTATACTCTGTGTTCTGTGAGGGAATCTCCGCTCGAAACCTATTTATGCTTTTTCTTTGATATTCAGCAGTTCCTTGATGCTTTACGATATGAACACTTACGGGCGTACATTATAGTTTCTGTTGTCAATTTCAGAGTTTTCCATTTCAAGTTTGCTGTAGGCGACAGCAGGAGTTATGTGCTTTGTGACTTTTCGCAACGTTGAGTCTTTGCGCACTTTCGAGCGTCTGAATATAGCATAGTGTCAGTAAAAACGCCACCGCCCGTATTGAACGAACTTACGAATGAAGCCAGGTCGTAAGAATATGGAAGAGATGTGAGCGAAATGTGGTGCTCATTGCGAGCATAAGCGGAAAAGGAAGCGAGTAGGCGAATCCGTAAAGTATCAGCTGAAATTCATGCCTAATTGCTGCTTTGTATATAAGTTGTTGAGAAAGTAATGATTGACCTTTGTTGCATCATCGATGCTGCACTGTCCTGCTGCACAAAACGTGCTGGGTTGATGAACGATTGACTGAGAGGTCATTAGTGCTAGGAGCATTGGGCGAAGATTGGCGAACAGCGGAGCATGCTTCGCCGCGTACGGTGAGCCGATTTGCGGGAGTAGACAACGTACGGAAACAAAGAAACCAACACAGCAAAAAACTGCCAACCTGAAGCGAGAGGATTACAGAAAACAAGCCAGAAACAGCAAGGTCTCCATCCTGTTTGTCACAACCATTGTAAGAGGATGTAGGCTGCATCCAGTCGGCATTTTTAGTTCTGAATCGTTTCACAAGTGTTTAGCCTACATTTTATGAGATGGCAAAGCCCGTACTTTTGAATTCAACAAAATTTGTGCGCAGCCTAGGAATATAAGTAGTTCCCACTGCGACACAGCCCTTTGCCTTGCTAATACTATTAAGCGTTATCGCTGAAGCAAATTCAATCAAGAAGGGCGTGCGCCGCGATAATGGTAACAACGTTAATATGGTACCGAAATCTCAATTCGAATCGGTATAAGGTAAACTTATGTGAAATATTCACTATGCACAGCACCATTAGAACGAACGTATTGTAATCTGATATGGCCCTTTTCCGCAAGAATTATTGCTATAGAATCCAAAGAATTCGAGACGAATGTGGCCCAAATTGTTTTTAAGAAATCCCAGTTTATAGTTTCTTCAACGATTTTCTGGAAGTAGCAGCAGAACTAAGGTCCAAAGCCCGGCTTCTATTCACAACATAGAGCATGTGAAGCACTCCTGTTTGCAGTCAAGGATATTTGAGCGCCGGTCGAACGCAGAGAGAAGATGAAGAGAAGTCTCTCAACAACAGTCTTAAGTATTCTTCTTGTGTGATCTGTCGGAGCATTCTAGTTGTGTTGTCGAAAAAATTGAAATGAGAAACAAGAAAGGAAGTTGAATCAAGAGTAGGATAACTCTAAATTCTGTCGAATCCACGACACCAACTCTGCGTTTGATGCCGCTGCGCGAATGATGTCACCTCAATATTAGGATACCCGGAGAGTTTCAAGAAAATTTCGCCTCTCAACTGTGAAAGCATGTTGCTTCCAAACGCGCTAAAGAAGCACTCCGAGTTCGATAGCAGAGAAAGGGCTTCTGGCAAATCAATACTGTAGCTGATCGGTATTTGACGTGGTCGTTTGCAGCAAGTAATCGTCAACCGAACGATGTGCCATCGACAAGAAAACCGGGGCCTTCTGCTTCACTATACGAAACTGAGCGTTTTCACGCTAGGGCTTAGAATGAGATGTGGTGACCGATGGGCAGTAGTGAACCCTCGCTTGTCACCTACCAAGAGATTTACTTCGACAGTTTCGTCGACGCAAACGTCCACTGTCTTTAAATGCCGACACAGTTCTGGTCTCCCGTCAGAGCAATTCTCCTCGAAGTAGAAGTAAATTCAAAAAACGACTCCTACTCCCCAATCCATCATCCAACACGTTTTACATAAGCAGGAATGCTTTTGCAAATTCAGCACATCCATGACTGAGCACGAGCGTCGACGGCGAGTCAGCTCTACAGTGAGCGAAGGACGGCATCAACTGACTTAATCATTGCTCAGTATGAGAAGTAGAGCCATACGAAAACTAACACTAGAAATGACTGATGTGAGGCCACAGCTCTCTACAAAGCGAAGCGCTCACGTCAGAAAGAGCATAAGTTTACTTTACCTTTGCTGAGCTGGGTGTTCTATAATATTCTTATTCTATTCTATATTATATAAATTCAAATATATATATATATATAAATTATCCAGAGATACCAGAATGTACTGCGATAAACGCAAAAGTATTTTTTTAACAACTAAGAAAGGTTGTGTTTCGAGCCCTTTTTGTAGCGATATCAAGGAAATTTTTGATTTTGATTGTTATGGATAATGCTCGACCATCCCATGCGAGGCTGTTGATGGATGAGCTGGATAGGCTTGTTGTAACCTGACTACTCCACTAGCCCATATTCCCCTGACCTCGACCCATAGGACTGCCGTAATTTCAGAGGCCAAAGACCTGTTTTAAAGGAAAAAAGTTTAACGGTCTTTGGGAAGTCAAGTAGATAATAGTTGAATGGTTGCGTCGCGCTTCTCTCCTTTTTGGAGAAGTGGCATCAGCGCGCTGTCGGCTGTTGATGAAGATACATCGTGGCTAAGATGGCCACTATCCTGATCACTGATCTAATTTGACTGTTGTTGTTATTTTGTGTTGGAAAGATCGACTGAATTTTCACAAAACTTCACAGACTATGAACCATAATATAAAAGGGTAAAGATAAAGGTGGCGGATTGAATGCGAACGTGATCTATACAACGAGTTGCGGTGGCCAGCCGTTGTCCAGATCAGTGCTTTTATGGTACGAGACGAGTGTGGTATGTACCATTTATCCGACCGCGGAGTGATGAGAGGCCTGGTTGGCTTGGGCGGACATCGATCCGGGATTCGAATCCGTGACGCCAAACTTCGTGTACAATAGAATATTATTCGTTTCAATGGAAAGGAAAAATAACCGATTAGTGCAACTTCGTCGAAGAAGAAGGGAACCTCGGCGTTAGCCACTACGACTTGTATTTGTATATATATAGTGGCGGTCGAAAGTCCTCGATGAAACGCTTTCCCAGTTGCAGTTTTTTCCTACTTTATGAAAACTGACAAAATTTCATTATGTTAATCGAAGACATATTGTGGACACTTCTATCAATTTGCGATTTTTTAATGTCGTCAGTACGTTAGATAGACTTAAATTCAGTTGAAAATAGAGGTAGTATCGACCTGAGAGAAACCGCTTCACTTCGAAATGGCAACACGTAAACAACCAAAAAGGCATCGAGTCGATTGTTTCTGGATGGTAGACACTGACACGTTTCCTCCTTTACTTATTGAGCGTGCATTCAACTTCACTGTTTCTTCGAAGTTTGTTGGAAGTACGCCTTTCAAATTTGCCTTTTATAGGCTCTATAGGATTCATATACGACATTGGCTTAGCCACTCCAGATGTTCGGTTCGCTTCATTCTTCACAAAAACTAAGATGTGTTTTGGTTCATTATCCTGCTGCAGGATCTATACTGCTGGCATGTGATGTTGTTTCCATGGCAAAAAGATGTCGACCGCTATGTTCCCCTAGTACTTCCCTGTCATTGTGCCGTCACTCCAAGATAGAGCCCATTCCGTTCGAAGAGAAGGCACAGTATACTGTCACGATTCCTCCACCATGCTCGGTTGAAGGCACAGTAATTTTGTGCAGTTATGACGAAAAATGGAAGATAGGGTGGAAATTGGTGCGATGAAGGCAAAGAAATTGCGTGAATAGGTGTTTCCAAAGTGAAAAAAAGCCTCGAAAGATCGTTAAAAAGGGGGCTGGACGATAGTGAGACAAGCAAAATGAAGAAGAATGTTGCGTTTGGACGAGCTATACAATATGTGTTAATGCGTACGTTTGGGTTAGGGTGCGAATAGCTGACTACGATATGCAGAAATTTATTCACTTATAGGCGAAGTTAACAAAAAAAACCCTAGCAACAGCAAAACTAGCCCACCTTTTCAGCTTTTCGGGGTTAGAAAATAAAATTAGGGATTGACAAAAGAATAGTGGGAAACGTCGCCTCATTACTCGGCGATCATCTGATTATGTGTGGGCCCTTCAACGAAATTTGCAATCTGTATTGCCTCGACACTCGTCTGACGTGACATCGATCGAGGGGCGCGAGGCCCGGGTGATTCGGAAATGGAGCTCTCACTATGTCCTGACTGAAGAGTTTTCGGGCACGAGAGGGTTCTTCCTGTTACCCTTAAGGGCCACTGGGTTGCGGTGTACTTTGGACAGAACCTTACCTAAGATGGACCAAAACTTCAGTTGAGGTGATGGTGGGCGCGCAAAACTTCTCTCTAGCTCTCCTACTCCTCAGACTGATAAACGGCTTTTTGCCTGGGCGCCTCCCATGAATACCAGCATTGTTTAGGTGTCTTCCTGCAGTCCTCCGACTAAGAATGGTACCATCGCTAGGGCTTAACTCAGCGTCAACGTCAGCCGCAGTGAGGCGAGTTTCAGCCCTTGAGCGGAGTGTGATCCGTCTGTCCTGGGCTAATGAAGTATACCGGGGTCTTCCTGCTCTCTCGGCATCGCATACCTGGCGGCGCTAGACAACCGAAGAATCTTTTCTCTGAGCTTTTGAAAATTCTTGAAGTGGCCGTGAATTTCATGCTCGATTCCTTCATGTCTACTGCTGCCTGCCGTACTCAATAGTGACTACTGTCCTTCTATGCATGCCTCGAATGTACTACTAGTACTAATGCCAAGCACAAACGGGGTGCAAAAAAAATGCAATTATCGCTGACCTCGCAAGCAGGAAAAAATAGAAAGTAGTAGAAACTCTGCGCGTGGTCACCTGATCCCCCACATCAGATGCCAAAAAGTGTAAACTGGTCCGGTTCAGAGTGAGGTTCGACATACCGAAATTCCTTTACTATAAAAAAGTTGCTATTGGGAAAGCATTTGACCGCTACTGCATATATTATACATATATGTACATATACATATATTATGTGTGTATATATATGCTGGATATTTTAATCATATAAAGTGCTTTCAACACGAGATTTGTACCGTGTGACCTTACTGCCGATTTGGAGATACTTCACATCTGTATGTTAAATACAATACTACCAGCCCAGCGGAGTCAGCCCTTCACAGAAAACAATTTCAGCGAGCTTCAGCTGATATAAGCTCCTATCGCGAACCTACTATTCAGGTAAACGTCCCAAATAGATGCTTCAACGATTCCCAAGCCTCCTCGGATCATCATGACATTGCAAGTTCTGGTTGATTTCGATGCAACATTCATTCCCTTTCATTATCGCAGATTCTCGTATGAAATTGAGAGAAATAAACGAAGTTGCACTTGAGTAAGTGCTCCCTGAGTTCTGCTCATGACGTTTTTGACTGGTTCCGGGCCCTCACTATTGAGAGCCAATTGAAAGTTGACCTGAATAGCTCGTTCTAAAATCATTTCCTTCGGTTACAGCGTTAGGAAACACAACTACCATGGTCCAGCGGAACGCCATGTTTCCACTACAAAAACGTGATGCTGAGAAGTTTAGAGATCCGTTGATATGGAGAGTTTCCTCCGATGGTCGATCTGAAACACCATGCCAAATGGCCCAGCAAACCGTGTTGGCGCTAAAGGAAAGTGTCATGTCGTCATGTCAGCGCTAGCGAAATCATCTGAATCCTCGAAAGTTACATCAGCATTTAAGCTTAAAACACACCTTCCCCTATTATACAAACCGATGCGCTTTCGGATAGCGAATACTTGCCCAGCGGGCTAGCAGAAGGTGCACGTCATTTACTCCTAGACCGCGTCGCGTTTCCGAAGCCACTTCTTTTGTTCACGGTCGCAGACGTTGCGGACAGCGCTGCATTTGCCTAATCCTACTTCTATCGAGATAAAGAAAAAGCGGCGAAATGCATGACACTGTTGAACATTTTCCTCCAGATAGACTGGCAGCCTTACCAACAAAGCGTCGTAACCTTCTGATGTAGCCAATTTCAAAGCTTTCCAGGGTTCACGTCAGTCGAACCATCCGTATTAAGCTTTCTCGTTTCTTAACTTTCTCCCATATGTCTAGCATTCATTATGAGAATTCCTCAGAAAGGCTCTAAATATTCAGGGCACCACAAAAGTATGGGCGCTAAAATCCAGAAACATATAAGGTAGGAATAATCTATCAAATTCACTTCACTCTCTGGTAATTAGTTGCATAAGTAGGTTTTTGCAATATGCTTGGTTACTGAAGTGAAACTCCCAATATCGTTTAGATGACGGAGGCTCACTAATGCCACTTGCAATAACTGGCTTACGAGCGGCTTAAGGGCACTATGAAATTCCTTGTGATTCCTATAATGTCCGTACAGAAGGTCACTGAACGATACAGAGAAAGGACAAACCAGGAAGGGGCACAAAAGTCAGTGTTTCAAAAAATAGGACTATTAAAATGGTCCGTTTGAGCGTCGACCTGATTCTGGGTGACCCATCAAAAAGACATCAAAGGTGCAGGACTTATCGGTGTGGTAGTTGGGGCGGGTTGTAAGCAGAAGCTCCATTGCCGTTTCTATCGTATGCAGGAATGCCGCTTCATTCCTGATCTCAGCAAACAGAGCAGGGTCGAAATATTCAGAAAGTTGCTAACTTGCTCGAGTGGAGACACGCAACCCTTCATCATTTTCTCAAACTAAAAATAACTTACTAAAAAACCATTTCTCAGCAAATAAGAGATCACGTTTTGGCTATGAACATCTCCTTCACCTCGAATTCTTTACGAATTTTTTGAAGATAGTGTCGGCTTTTGCACCGTTTCATAATTATAAGGTCACCCTGAGAAAGTAAATGATTCATTAACGTTGGTGGCATATATACAACAATTAACAATCTATAGCTCCCCCTTGTTTAAGAGCAACATCAAAGA